TCAAGTTTTGAATTTATTTATCCCACCAGTTAGCACAATATTTCCATGCACCCATGTAATATCCTTTATTTAATCACACAGGAATGATAAATAATAATAAATACATTTTGGCAGTTGATATTTGTCAATCATACAGTGATCCAAAAAAATGATTTATGGGTCATTTGAATTTGACAGTTTTGGTGGTTTTTCAATCATACAGGAAACATACCTTATAATAATTTAATCACACAGGAATGACACTAATTACCTCAATACATTTTTGACATACAGTGATCATAAATGATAATACATTTTGGCAGTTTTGTAAACAATTAAAGGAATCATAAGCTTAATGTTCATAATGATTATCCATTTTTCAACTTCTCAAATTCTTTGCTTATCTTTGCTCTCTGTATTTGTTGACAGTTTGTATTAAAGAGTTTATTGAAGAATAAAGATTAAAAATCTGAACATTCAAATAATATCAAGGCTCTCTTTTCAAAATGCATAGTTTTATACTTATTAAAACATCCGAGTAGTTTTATGTCAAATAAGATTATTATTGTGGATAGAATGTACACACAATTCACACATATTTTCATTGTCAACAAGCTCATTTAACTGAGAAGTTTTGAAGTGTATCAGGTAAAGATTTTCAAATTCAAAAGCAAATTTAAACCAGACTAAAACTGCCCAAGGTTCTTGAAGTAGAAGAATTGATATAATTGAGCACCAAAAACCGCTTGCACGTATAATCTAACATACCGCCATTTGTTTAATAACGCCACGGTATCGTCGGAGAATATGTCAGATATTCTCCTATGAGAAATTCTCCCTCAATAATCGTTGTATTTGGCGTTCACTTCGTTTCTCGATTTGCTTGAGTCTTTATTAACTTAAATTGTTTCGTCTATCACGTTTTCTCTCCCTTTCAAGCCTGCGTTGTTCTTCACTTAGACTTCTTCGACGCTCTCTTTCTCTTCTTCTTGTCTGTTGTTCTTCAGATAAAGATCGCTTTCCGTTATTTATCCGTTGATTTTCCGACATTTGGTGCAGAAGTAAAGTATTTCAAAGGACAAAAATGGAGTCGTTGTGTCGTCGTTGTGGTGAAAAAGTTGTTTTCAAAAATTGACGCGAGCGCGCTTCCTTTTCCCGCCTTCTCAAAAGTAGCCAATCAGAATCGCGATGTACACGGACGGACGGACGGACGGACG